AATGTTTGAAAGGTCATTGGGAGAGGCGTGCCTGCGCTTGCCATCCACCAGAAAAGTCGAAGGTCCCTCGACATAACGAATGGTACAGGATAGTGCAACGAGAAATAGCACTGCTGGGTGGGAGAGCCCCAGACGTCTGGAACGGCACCTGTTCAAATGGCCTCGTTCAGAGGCTCAGGTCACCTTCAGATCATTCGATGAGCTGTCTTCCTTTCACCAAGACCCGATCACACTTCTTTAGCACACAGGTTCAGCTCAACTCCACAAACATGCTCCCAAGGACTGCGAACAACCGGTCCAATGCAGACTCCAACGAAAACAAGAAAAGCACATTTTCAAATTCAACAACTGCAAGTAAAAAACACAGCGATAAAACAGGAACAAAGATAACAGGACTGATATAAAAATCAGATATCTTCCAGAACGCTAAAAGAACAAATGAAAATTTATTAACAAACAATTACCCGACATTTTGTGCACTATATCGATTACAAGGCTTGAACAGCTATTTGCCTCATCAGTACACTAAATACAAGGACTTATCTAAATACACCTACTACTTGGGATAAAATGGAGTGCGCGGCTCACTTCAAAGGTTACAGGGCTTCTATCAAGCGGGAATTCTCTGCAATGGTTCAGACGTGTTTTCTCATCACGTCTCTAGACAAGCATTGAAGGATGAAAAATAGGGAAGAGGGAAGCGAGAAGGGGGAGGAGAAAGAAAAGAAGGAGGAGGAAAGCTTCACGGTCGACAGAAGTCTTGAGACCCACTCCAAGAGGCTTACAATTAGTCTACACTAAACACATGGTTCTTTCAAACAATAAACTATCACAGTTGAAGCCGAGACAGTCACATTTGATTTTCCAGTGAGATACCCTAAAATTAAGACGAATGAACAAAACTCATCCACGTGCTGTTTTGATCTTTTTCTTCTGCCTCGAGGTTTTTTAGGTGGAATTCTTTATTCTCGGCCAACGTTTCGACCCTTTCGTCGTTGTCAAGGCCTAAACATGGCTCAAAGCTTTAGAGTTGCACACTACCCCACCAAAGACATTCCCCTCTAGCATTTCTGACGTCATCTCAGGATCGCCAAGATACCCAAGAGTTAAAAGATAAGCTCACCTCGTGTTCCACCACTACAATGTAGCGTAAAGCTACAGCTCACGTTAGTAGGTGAGTAGGTTAGTATGCGAATGAGTGCTACCGTCGTGTAGTATCAATGACGTGCACCTTCGCTTATCATGCATGCAATCCACAATGCTCCATGAACGGTAGGAGATCATTCGTTAGAGAAACACACTCGTTTCGGTTGTTCATTGTTGGATTCCGGGCTGAAATCCAAAACGCTTCCAGCGCTTTCCTCGAAATCTCCGTCTCATGGGCCAAAATCGTGCACTTGACGTCAAAATCTTCGCCACCATGCTGTTCCATTCTATGTTTCCCTAACGGCGTGGACATGCTATTGCGCCTTTTACCAGATAGGTGTTCCTTGATGCGTACTGATAAAACTCTTCCTGTTTCCCCTGTGTAAGTTGAACATTGGGGAAACAGGAAGAGTTTAATCAGTACGTACATAGTGGTGGAACACGAGGTGAGCTTATCTTTTAACTCTTGGGTATCTTGGCGATCCTGAGATGACGTCAGAAATGCTAGAGGGGAATGTCTTTGGTGGGGTAGTGTGCAACTCTAAAGCTTTGAGCCATGTTTAGGCCTTGACAACGACGAAAGGGTCGAAACGTTGGCCGAGAATAAAGAATTCCACCTAAAAAACCTCGAGGCAGAAGAGAAAGATCAAAACAGTTCCGAACAATGCCGAAGTTTCAAGATGAGAGGAGTTGGAATCTATCATCCACGTGCTTTTTGTATAGCACTATGAAAACCAGGGTATGGCTGTAAAAAAGTCGAAATTACCTCATCAGGGTTGAACGATGGCCTTCTTCTTACCAGAGCTCGTAGGCAGGGCTGAGACTTCTGAAGAAAGTTCAGTCTATTCGTATGAATATTAATACACAATTTTATGCATTTTCGAAATCTTGTCTGAGTTCTCCAATAAGGACAGTTTTGAAGGTAAGGTTGCGTTCATACTTTGCATCTGCATTTTGATGGTACGACAGCGCTTTGAGTGTTTCGAAGGAACTTCTCGCGAGCAGTCGTTAAAACGCTAGCCTACACTCAAGACGCTAGATCAATATCAATACTTTCCTAGTCGCTCAAAACCCTGCTGTACGCTGGCATACGCTGACGTACGCTGAAAACGCGGACGCAAGTTATGAACACAGCCTAATGAAAAGCTTCCCGCGTTGAGCAATTCCCACTGCCGGATAGGCCGAGCATTCTCCTTACGTTCCAAATCGTCGCGATATTTTAACTACGATTTGAAGCATACAACAATTCGGGAGGGTCGATGCACATGTCAGTGCTCTTGTTTCCCCAAACAAGTGTGGTACAAGCTAACCCATCCTTGAGGAGACCGGGCACGTCCTATCACAGGAGAGTTTTGTAAAACACGACCCTTCACCCCAAAATTCCTCCTCTGATACAACCTTCCCGCATCCGCACCCTACATACCATCCTCTTAAATTTTCCCAACTTCCTGCTAGTTTTTCGAAAGTTCCTAAAAGTTTTCCGTCTTTCGTCGAAAAAACGGAACCCCTCCCACCAACTGATGTCCATACCTGTATCTATAGCGCGTGTGAAACCGGAAAAATCAACTACGAGTCATTTTCTCAGGTCATATACGACACCTCTACTGATGTGACCGAATAAGACCCCTCCCTCAAAAAATCCCGCAGCGTGCGACGTGCCCTGTGAGGAATAGAAACTCAGCTGGCCCGACGGCAGGCGATTCAAGATCTGATCCAGAATTGCGAGCATGGTAAGCGGCGCAACATGTAAAGACACCACCTCGGCCCTATGCCCCGTCAAGTGGAGGTTTATGACTCACCTTTCTCAAAAGTGTCCATCATTCCTGGTCCGTGTATTTTCCCGCAACTTTGTATGGTACTGTAAAAAGGTCGATTTTCACAATAAGAAAATTCTATCGAAACCGAATTCCCAAACCTCAGAAGTGAACGTAAGTGGCGATTCCTCTTCATCATACGAGCGCTACCGATCAGAACAAATTGCCGCTTCGCACGTGTGATCGCCACGTTCAAACGGCGTTCGTTTTGTAAAAACCCAATAATCTCTGCAAGCGAAAGTTAATGATTGAACGCCCTTCGAAACAAAGAACAGCCTCAGTGAATAACAGGAAATGTTCTAAAGACGCTAATGAGGAGCGATAAAAGGAGTGCTTATCGTTGTATAGTAGTCACTGCACGGCAAGAAAACCTGCAGCTAAACGTAGCCTCCGCAGTATATTCCAACATTTTTCAATGGCATAGTGTAACGGCAAGTTTCCTAGAAACTAAACGCTGCTTATCACATAGCATAGCAGAAATTAAGGTAAGAAAAACAGAAAAAAAACTGTTTCTGCTGATCATTCCGCCTACAGCCTTGTTCGCTGCGGACGCAACAAAGCTGGGTTTAGGGCGCCGCGAAACAGTTGCACCGGTTGTTGAAAAGCAAGGGACGAAAGTGTATGTATCATATCGTTCGTATCAATCGTTTTCCATGAATTGTAGAAGCCCGTTACAACAACTGGTGAAGAAAGGGCTTGGCGTTGCCTCAAACCCCCCAACGCCTGACACGCCCCTCATCCGCAGCGAACAAGGCTACAAGTGGCGTCGATCATTTGGAGGCAAATCGATCTTTGCAGGCGAGAAGGGAACCAATTTTTCTAAGCCATCACACCCACGTTCTGGATTATGTCGAACCATACTGAAGACCACAACTTCTCGCTCCTGCCCTTGGAACGAATCGACCGTGTTAACGGACACTTCTGCTGCATTGATAATCTCACGAATTGTCGCAACCTTAAATATACAGCAACTATCTCACAATCAGCAAAAACAAAAGAGAATGTTTGAGCTGTTCACATAGCCCAGAGTGAGTTCATACTTTGCGTTAGCTGGACCGACATCTATACTTTCCTTAGCGTTGGAAAAGCCGCCACAATCGATACCTATGCACTTCTAGTCGCTCAAATGATGGTGTACGTTCGAAACGTCC